AACCATGTCTCCAGGGCCAGCAGCTCTGAGAATGTCCTTACGGCATGGCGCGTGCACAAAACGCCAGAAGACCCAGGAACCTCTACCCAAACTCTACGGCTTCAGTCAGCCCTTTAGGCTCAGGGTTTGGGTTTAGGGTTTTTAAGGCTTAGGGTTTTGGGTTTTGGGTTTAGGGATATGAGGGTATGAGGATTCTTCTGGGGATTGGGTAGATATTGCCATCGGAATCTATTCCCACATTCCCCCAGTACTCGATATATCTTGGCCTCGCTGAATTTTGAATCATATTTTCCCTGCTCTCCTAACCGCCATCAAGGTTTGAGAGCTTTAGCTTTGCTGCTTACCGGTGATTAAATGGGGATTACATTCCCTTAGTCCCTACTAAGAACCAGAAAGGCTGGGCATCAGGCTGACATATGTGAGGAGCCGGTAGGCAGCGAGCTTTGAAGGGGAAGGGGTGGGGTTCCCTTAACCTTTAGCACCACTACAAGGCGGTTTAAGCGGCCAAACGAACCCTATAGGGATTTTATCCCCAATAAGGGAAGACCAAATGGAAAATAGAATGGAAAATGAAATTGAAGCTGGGTTAGATGATAATATTTCCTACCCATCTGGAGCCAAGAAAGGAGTTTGGGCAGGGCCGATCAGCGCCCGGCTGTCCAGCACGGCACGTCCGGAAGCCCGGTCTGCAGAGCCATCGGAGCCTTGCAAATAGCAGTCTCGAGAATTTCCCAAATGTTCAGGGTCTCACTGAAACTGCCCCAAATATAGTCTGGTCTCTTCCAGGGATCCGACGTGTGGAAAACCACCAATACCCTAAACCCTACACCCCTAAACCCTGACCCAAAACCCCTGAACCCCTAAACCCTGCACCCTAAACCCTAACCCAAACCCCTGAACCCCTAAACTCTAGAACCCCAAACCCTAAACCGCCCAAACCCTAAACCCCTAAACCCTAAACCTAAACTGGTTTTCACGCCGCGATCCACCGCTCTGTCCGGGCCTTCCAGGCACCGTGCAGCGGACTCCACGAGGGAGCGGAAGAGCTCCACGTCCCGGAAATCTGGAGAAAGGCCCATGATTCTCTTGCTGGGGGACAACTATAAGGTTAATGGAAAAATTGGAAGCTACTACATGATGATGGGTTATATTTTGGGGGTCTCGAGAAGCCCATGATTCTCTTATTGGGGCTTAGAAAGGACATTTTAGGGTTATATGGGGATACTGGAAAAGAACATGGAAGCTACTATGTAGGGTTTAGGGTTAGTGGGGACCCAAAAGAATGTATTTTGTAGGGATTGTATAGGGATTATCTTCCCTTATTCCCCACCGATATATACCCTATCATAAAATAAGAATTTCCAGCTTCTTTTCCATTAAGCCTATATTACCCCAATATAAAACCCAAATATTAACCCCCATGTAAGCCCAATATTACGCCAACACTAACCCCACATACCCCCCAATATATAACCCCAATATAACCCTAACAGATCCCCAATTGAACCCCAATATTACCAGTAAGTTCTTAAAAGAGACCTCCCCCTGCCCTTCCCTGCGCCTTGCGCTGCCAAGGCGGCGGCAGCCTGCCCGAGGAGGCCCAGGTTGGGCCTGGCAAGCCCAGAAGCTTACTCTCACTTTTTATTACTACTATGACTACTCCTAGTTCCATTATTATTACTCTTAAGTGTTTCTATTATTGCTATTACGTACTATTACTATAACTAGTACTATTAATATTACTATTACTCTTACTAATATGATGGCTACATTCCTGGTTTCTTTTCTTGTTATTCTATTGTGACTACTAGTGTTACTATGAATATTTCTGTTCTTCTGACAGTTATTGATTAACTAATATTGATTTGACTATTATATAGGGATTGTGTAGGGATTATATCCCCTTATTCCCTACGAACCACCAATATATACCGTATTATAATGTAGCAGCTTCCATTTTTCCATTAACCCTAAATAACCCCAACATGAACCCAATATTACCCCAATATAAGCCCACAATGATTGATTAACTCATATTGGTTTGACTATTAACCTTACTATTCAGGGCGAGCGTCTCCCAGAGGTCGGAGGTGAGCCGGATTTGGAGCTTCTTGGCAACGCGCCGGCAGAGGGCCGCGTCTTTGACCCCCGATGCGGCCAGCTCCTCATGAATTGTTCTTGTTATTATGACTGGTGTTCTTATTGTTCTTAATATACATAGTATTGTGACTATTGTTCTTACTGTCATTAATATACAAATTAGCGGAACCACTATTATTAATCTTAACCGTCTTCTGCAGTACTTCCCTCATCTCATCTGAAACCATCTGCGCAGCGGCTGCCTCGATGAGCGACACCGCGGCATCCACTGGAATCTCCTGAGCACATAGCAACGCAGGCCAGCTTACCGGTCTTTAGTAGGGAATAAAGGAATATAGTCCCTATATAATCCCTATCATCTTCCCTACTAACCCACAGGAAAGCAAAGCCTTCAACAGGATGCATCTGGTCTCAGGCAAGCTTAGCCCATGGCCCACATGCAGTTAGCAGCGCGCCTCAGCTCGGAAGAATTTGTCAATGGATTGTCAACGGAAAGTCTTACTGGGGGTCAGTAGGGAATGAGGAATATGATACATAGGGAGTATATTCCCTTATTCCCTACTAAGGCCCAGTAAGAAGTAGAAAGCATTAGTCGCTTTCGTTCTCCTGGCCATCCTTGGAAGAAACGTCCCCCGCCTGGCGAAGAGCTTCATCAACTCGGCGACCTCCTCCTGCATCATGGATCCCACCCTGACTGGGTTTAGGGTTTCAGGTTTAGGGTTTAGAGTAAGAGGAGTGAGCAAAAGGATCCTGTACGGATGCAGAGTAGAGGGCACACATGCATTCACTCACCCGACTCCCCCTGAAGCTCCAGCAGGTCCGATGCATACAGAAGCAAAACCCAATCAGCGATGTAGCCCTGACTCCGGCAGACTCCAGCAGGGCCACGTGCAATTGTAAGCTGAACCCTCAGTCCTAAACCTCTACACCCCAAAACTTGAACCCAACCCTGTCCTTATGGCGCAGGCGGCGTGGGAAGATCTCAGACAAGGCGATGATGGCCATCCCGGGAACCTACCAGAAGCAAACACATGCCACTGGTTTCAGAAACTGGGGTTCCCTTTGAGGGGATCCCTGAAGAGACTGTGGCAGAATGGGGTCTATACTCCGTAACTACCATGGGGCCCTGGCGAAGCTTCGGCTGTCCCGGACCTGCAGCTGCAAGGTAAGCAGCTTCCCCAATAGTCTTCGGCTTCTAATACAGCAGTTTCAATGTACATTGGGATTAGATGGGGATTATATGAGCTAGTCTAAACTCCGAGTATCCCCCTAACAACCCCCGTTATACTCCCTATGTTATCCCCTATAGATATCCCCCTGTATGGAACTTAGACCATACGTTATATAGAGATCATATTCCCTTACTCCCTACTAAAAATCAGTACGGTCGAACTGGCCTGCGCAGCCAGGGATGGGAAAACGTCCATGTCCTTCCTGAGCTCTGGCCTTGGAATCTACTCATTAAAGTTTAGGGCTTAAGGTTTAGGGTCTAGGGTCTGGGGTTTAGGGATTTAGGGGTTTAGGGTTAAGGGTTTAGGGCTTAGGGTTTAGGGTATAGGGTTTAGGGTCAGAAGGCCCAACTTACATTTAGTTAGCTGGGAATGAAGGAACGGAAAAGAAAATGGAAACTACTATAGTGGGCTATGTAGGTAGTGCTATCAGGATCTTCATTCCTGGCTCACCAAAGGCAAGCTAAAGCAAAGGCCAAGAAAGCATCCTGGCTCCTGGCTGATGCACGTCAAAAGCACGCGCGACGATGGCCAGCTCTAGTGGTTCGAGGAGATGCATGGACTTGATACACCTTCTCAAAAGAAACACTAAACCCTAAACCCTAGGGAGTGGGATCATGCTGAGACTCACCCTCACCTCTTGGACAGCACTTCCCAAAAGGGCTTCGGGAACTGCTTGCCGGGCGCGTCGATCACTTCCTCCAATTCGAAAGCATCTCACTGCGCTCTTCGCAGTTTGTCTACTGTGTCACCGTCACCCCAGACCCCTAAAGGATCCAAAACATGGAACCTCCTAATGATGATCCCCTAGTTTCCCCTATGTAATATTGAATTAATATTGGGGAGGGTTCCATTTTTGGATCCTTTAGGGGGTCCGGGACAGGGCTCTCACCCAAAATATACCCTATTGTGGTAGAGTAGCTTCCATGTTCCTCTCCACTATCCCTATAAAGGCCTCTATTGGCCGGGGGAGTGGCACGCACTGCCAAATCGTCCTGCAAGGTTTCCAGGAGCTTCCGACGATCGGCCATGATGAGCACTTCCTGGCCCAAAACACTCCACGAGGCGACTTCTAAAAGGCTTCCGAAAACTGAGCTTTGGTTAGCTGGGAATGAAGGCATGGAAAAGAAAATGGAAACTACTATAATGGGTTCTATAGGGACTACTATAAGGATCCATTCCTTCATTTCTAGCTAACCAAAGGTAAAATCAAGGCCCCAGGCATTGTAGTGCCGCTTCCTGGGTCCAAGAGTCACAGAGCCCCACAATTAGGGGTACCTTTTACCCCTATAGTGGTGAATCAAATGGAAAAGAGCATGGAAAATGAAATGGAAACTGAGGTTATATACATGATTTCTTAAAGGCTCCAAAAATGCAACCCACCCAATATGAAGCCATTATTACTCATGGGGAAGCTAGGGGATCATTAGGGGGGTCCATTTTTTGGATCCTTGACGGTAAAGCCTCTGGGGTTGGGTACCAGAAAAGTCATACGTTCATTGCTATTCTCATTCTTATTGGTATTGTCCTGATTACTATTATTCCTACGACTACAGCTGATACTATTATGATGATTGCCATTACCATTATTACCATGATCACCCCTCATACCCTAAACCCTAAACCCTAAACCTACTACCAATACTACCCTAAACCCTAAACCCTAAACCCTAAACCTACTACCCTTCTTACCCTAAACCCTAAACCCTAAACCTACTACCAATATTACCCATTTTTAAAATTACTACAACAGTGATCCATGGGAAGCTGGGGCGACAGGCTTCCATTTCAGCCGCTTCGCCTTGAATCGATAGAGGAAGGGGGTTTCCGTGGTGGCAAAGCTCCTGGGATAGAGGGGCGGCTGCGAAACCTATAGGGTTTAGGCTTTCTAGGCTTCAGGGTTTAGGGATTCCAGGGCATAGGTTTTATGTTGGGTAGTGGCCCCCACCCAGTACCAGCTGAATAACTTTTAGTATATTGCTATAGCCGTTAACAGTACCACTATTGTTGACTGTTACTGGGTTGGGGGCAGAATTCAAGGGTTCATATGAGCTCTCTTCCAAACTTCTAGTATCCCCCCTAAAAGCCCCTAGTATCCTCCCCTAAATATTCCCCTAAATGACCCCCTTTAAGGAGTTTGGACTATAGCTCATACATGGTTTTATAGGAGATTAATTATCCCTGAACCCTAAAACCCCAAAAATCCTTAGCCCTAAAACCCTAGAAACCCTAAACCCCAAAAAACCCTCAACCCCTAGAAACCCTAGAAACCCTAGAAACCCTAGAAACCCTAAACTCATCCCCAAGTCCTCCCCAACCTTGAGGACGCGCTCAGGAGGCCGCGACTCAGGAGGCCTTCGGGCGCAAGAAGGCTGGAAAAAGCCGAGAGAAAGAAACCTTAACCACTATTAAAAAACAAAGTCCTAAGCCCCAAAACCCTATAAACCCTAAACTCCATAAAACACCCCATAAAACCCCTATACACCCTAAAAAAACCTGAAAGCCTGGGTTTCTGGCCTTGGAAGCCAGTAGCCATCCCGCTTTGTCAGTCCATCATCGCTGAAAGCATGAAGGAGGCCAGGTTTGTACAGAGGAATGGATCAGTTAGTACTACCACTACGACTACTACTACTACTACTACTACTACTGCTATAACCTCGATTATTATTACTATTGTTGTTACTATTGTTATTGCTATTGGTATTGCTCTTGCTATTGCCATTGTTATTGCTATTTCTCGGGCTTCGGGCTTAGGGTGACTTCTACTTTGATGGGTTTTGGCTGGGGTTTGGGGCTGGGGCGAATTAGGGCAAAGCTTGGAGGTTGGCAAAGTGGCTTCATCTCTTTGGATCAATCTCAGCAAAGAGCTTACCAAGCGTGCAGCCAAACAGTAGGCCGGCAACAAATCGGCCTCACGTCCTCCTCTTGCTCTGCACTACGTTGACTAGCATCTTTCAATCCCCCGCGATGTTGTGGCACAGCCAAGAAGGACGGCAGTTCTTAACATAGAACATGCTGGGGCACTGGCAGCTTGGAGCACTGACATGGCGCAGGTCGAGAGAGCAGCCACAGTAGCTGTGACAAGCCCCTGCACGTCACTGCCTTACCTCTCTACCCCTTTGACCCTTTTTTGAAGGTAACACCTCCACGCACATCCCTTCGCCTCCGAGCGCTGACCACCAAAGTCTCGCGGGTAGGCCTTGCCTTGCAGGGTCAAAGCAAAGCAAGCCAAGCCAAGCCAAAGACGGCTGCGAGGGCTGCGAGTTGCTCTGCCTGCGAGGTTCCGAGGTGAGGAGTTGGTGGAGGTCGTCGCCTTCGGATGCGCGTTTTTTTACTCTGCGACTTTTAATCAAGGAGACTAATTCTTTCGAGCGCCTGGTTCAAGAAATCAGGCGGAGTTTGACCTGCGGCCGCAGTTGCTGCAGTTGCTGCGCAGTTGTTGCGCAGTTGTTGCCGTACATGCAGGTTGCCAGCCCTTGGACCCCAGCCAACCAGCGTTGCCTTGTTGGGCCTGCAAGAGACTATGCTTTTGCTGGAAGCATGATGTAGCATGTGCAGTCGTCTCTCTTCCAGCCTGGCACAGCTGAAGTTGCGTGGAGCCAAGCAGCTCAGCATCGTGGCCAGCACCTCGAAACGTCCAACTGCCCGGATGCAATGAAAACCGTGGCACAGCACAGTCAGCATGAACCAAATCCTTGCAACCAGGATGCAGCGGCCAGGCCCCGAACCCTCGCGCGCGGCAGCATGGTCTTGCTTGGCATGCCTGGTCTGACATGAAGGTCACTCTTAGCATTTGCTGCGACCTTGGGCCCGCCTGGAAGAGGTTGGAGTTACAAGGCTGGGGTGCGATGGCACGTCGCTCACCGGCTGTGAGCCATGGTCAGCAGGTGTCACCCAAGTGTGCGGGGCACCAAGTCGTGCACAAATGCATACCGGAACCAGAAGAACCCTACAAACAGTCACCAGCTGCAAGCTTTTGCACTGTACACTACAGCGTGCATGAAATGGTACTGCTGCACTGCCGGCCGCTGTTGTAGCGGGCTTAGATGGTGCGTCTTGACATTCAAGAACAACACCTGCCATTGACATCCATTGTTTCATATCATCGGTCTTCCGCTTCCTGCCTTCTAATGCCGAAGCTCAGGCTTCAGGTCTCCAATCAGAGATGGGCCGAAAAGCTCACACGGCAACAGGTTCTTTCAAAGGCTCTTTTACATTTACGGCCCGGGCGCTGCAAGAATCTGCAAGCGCGAAGCATGAATTCGTTGCCCTAAAGGCAGGAATGTGCAGAATGCTAAGTCAGCGTTGTGCCCGCTTAACAGGAGATGCTCCTCAGCGCGGGCGCCCAGCGTTGTGCAGAAAGAGGCGTCTCCGACCTCATTTCTGGTGATGTGAGAAAAAGGCTCTGGCGACGAGTCGGGAACAAAGTATGGTGTGTAATCTAACATACTAGAATATCGTAATGTAATATACTATACCATGTTAGGAACAACTCTGCCGTGCAGCTGTGAGGCTGCCTCAGCGGGGGCGCGACTCTTTCTCGTCGACACCACTGATTCCCTGTCACTTTTCAATGGACCATGTGCACCCACAGCACACGCTGGTAAGTCACTTGGGCCTCTCTTTTTGACAGCTCGTCCAACCTCAGTAAATTAGGGTACCCGTGTGGGGGGTTCCCAGAATAAGGATTATTGGGTGTCCAAATTGGGGTCCCCCTACTTAGGAAAACGACCAACTCCAAAATGAGCCATAGTCTCAACTCCTCATATGCCCCATACTAATCTGCACAGTACTCCCCTATATAAACCCTTATATAACCCCATCTATAGGAGTTTAGATTATGACTCCAAAATGGCACCGCTCTGAGGCCCCAACACCTGTCCAGGCTCAATGCCCATTGAAGCCCAGAGCACCAAGAGATGGAAGATCTCAGGGGCCAAGCATCTTGAGCCCCAAACCCCTAAAACACAAAAACAAAAAAATATACTAAAAACCCTAAAAAACCTTGACACCTAAAACCCTGAAACCCTGAAACAAAAAAAATAAACCCAGCCTAAGGGTTCACAAGATCCCTTCGGGATTCTGTCCCTAAACCCTAAGCCCTAAACCCTAAATTGTCAGCTCTGAACCCTGAGCCCCAAACCCTAAACCCCAAGCCCGAAACCCAAAACCCTAAATTCGCAGCCCTAACCCCTAAACCCCAAACCCTTTTTCCCAACCAGGGGCCAGGTCGGCCGACTCCTTGACCACGCCGGTGGGCCTTCGGGCCGCAGCCTGATAAAGTGAAAGCGGTGTAGGGTTTACGGATTAGAGATTAGGGGGTTGAGAAGTTAGGGGTTTAGGGTTTAAGGGTTTAGGGGTTTAGGAGTTTGGGGGTTTAGGGTCTAGGGGTTCAGGTTTAGAGGTTAGAGGCCCTAAGAACAGGCGCACAGCCTCAGGAATATGCATCTATAGATCGCATCTCGCATCCTGATGTATGTAGAGTGCACGACATATCCTTGGAAACTTCGAACTTGTATATATACACATATATATATACATATATCGTGGACCCCGAGGATATTCCTATTATACCACTATTAAGTTAGCAGTGACCATGTCCATTTGCTAATCATGCACCACCCCCTAGCACCCAAA